CATACTAGAAAAAAGACAGGATGGATTTTAAAAAACTGGCAGGATTTTTTGGTGGCGGGCTTCACTTGCAATGATGGCCCTCAAGTATGGAAAGAGCATCAATGCATATTTGTAAACATCAGATTAGTTTAGGGTTATGGAATGGCATTTAGAGACTGCTAACCCTTTAAGCCCACATGAAGGAGCTATGTTTTGTAAACCCCTGAAACGCGTTGGCTACACTTTTACCCCAAACACCGCCCCCAACCCCATTGATGTATTTGGACTATTGAACGGACTGTGGCACTACAGTTCAGAATTCTTCATCTCTGTCAGTGATGTGCTTTTAGATGCATTTATCAGCCCTTTCAGAGTAAGTACTGGTGTCCCCCTGTGGGTTATTCCAGAGAATTGTAAAACCTAACAAGAAATGAGGGTCGGTGGAAGCCATCAATTTTTACTAATGCGCTCCTGGTGATTAATGAGCCGTCACAGCCCCCTTTTTACGGCGGAGGAGATGATTCTCCATTAGTATGCATATGCACAGTGGGCACAGGTCACCCATTGATATTCCGGGCACGAGCAGTGGTAGATTGCACATTATGTACAAGGATGTAATGGACTCCAAGTCAGGAGATAAATGTGTGAGCAGCTTGTAGTGGTGTTTTAGGAATAATCTACTGAAATGTCTGGCTATTATTTGATAAGTACCTTGTTTTTAAAGAACATCATTGAAGAATAAGTGTTCCTTTTGTGATGAGAACTAAATCTGCGGTGGCACTTTAAAAAAAAATCTGGTTAATGTAGCTGTACCAGCACCTCAATAAAGTCCTCATGTTAGTGAAGTGTCTGAAAAGCAATTGTGCTGAGAACAGAGAATAGAAGTAGATTTGATTTGTTAAGCCATTTGACCCCAATACAGCTCTTGGAGGACATCAAGAATAAATGTTTTAAAAAGGTTGTGTTTGCAAATTTGCTTGATTAGCCTGCATACGATGGTAGCTAAGGTGTATGAAAGTGACACTGCCCTTTGAAGAACTGCAGGCAAATCTTAGTTTAGTTTATAGGCATATTATTAATAATGTGTTATTAAATGTAAGTCGTCTTCTTCCTTTTTAAAAAAAAAAAAAATGATTTATTGACTGAGGCAATTCTATAGGATACAATAACCGTAAGAGAGGTAGGTACACATAGTCCACAGATTGCCACAATAAAACGGATTACACCTTATTATACATATGAAACCAAACTCATATAGTCATAACAATGCAGGCATATGCAGTCTCAATCCAAAATTATTGCTTCCTTCCAAAAGTCTGCAAAGTGCTATATCTATTTATGGGGAAGCACCGTGGCTAATTATAATCCCTGAGAGTAGCTGTGTCTCGTGATCAAAGTAAAAGGCAGTAGGAAAAAAGGTCAAGAAAAGGAGGGAGAGGGCAGGTCCGGGCAGAGCCCGACATTCCCATCAGGGGTCTTAATGTTCTTGGAGGGTAGATACATATGTAAAGAACCAGAGGCATATATGCGTCTAGAAGACTGTCAAGGCTGACTGTGGGGAGGTATCCCAGTCGTGCCATCCTGAGAGAGTGGGTGAGGGCACTGGGAAGTGGTCCTGTAGCTCAACCATGGCTCCCAGGTGGCATTAAATTGACCTTCTGTATTTTTCAAGGAGGCTGTTATAAGTCTTTTTTTTATTAGATCCCCCACCCCCCCCATCCCCATCTATAACTAAAATTGTAAATCTCGCTCATGCGTAGCTATTGCAAGGAGAGGGAGAAGAATAGTTGGTTACTGACCCTCTCCCGTCTCCACCTTTTTGTGTAGATGTGTTTTTGGTAGAGTCCATGTACCGAAGCTCTGACCATTGTGTTGTGAGCTGATTAGTCGTTTACCAGAGGTCATATAAATCGGGGGTACACGGACAATCTAAACAAAAGACCTCTTCACTGTCCTTCAGACTTTATGGGGACCAGGCTGGTCAGTGTAGTCAATATGGTCAGGAGTAAAATGATGCCCTGCATTGGTGGTCAGTGGAAGTCTCAAAAATGTCCCATCTCTGGTGTCCTTGGGAGGAATAGCGCCAAATGGTACCCAATCGTTGTTGTCAGTGGGAGGAATTGTGCCCCATCGGCGGTGTCTGTGGGAGGAATTGTGCCCCATCGGCGGTGTCTGTGGGAGGAATTGTGCCCCATCGGCGGCGTCTGTGGGAGGAATTGTGCCCCATCGGCGGTGTATGTGGGAGGAATTGTGCCCCATCGGCGGTGTCTGTGGGAGCAAAAGTACCCCCAGGGGCCAGTTAAAAGCAAGCAAAGGACAGCAGTTTGGGGATGACTGACGTAAGTGGTTTCTGGCTAAGAAAATCTGATCCTGTTCAAGTAGCCTTTTAGCTTTATTGAGCAAAGACCTAGGTGAGGAGCAGATATCTGGAAAAGTTATTTTGTGGTTGTGCCCAGTATGGTCTTTGACTTGAGTTTTCTCTCGGGGCTTCCTCTTTAAATGTTTCCACAATCTGATGAACCTGCAGTTCCGGTTAATACATTGCGGTTAAAAGGTCAGTAAGCGACTCCTACTGTTTTTACCGCTATGTCACAAGCAGTGAAGAGTATTCATGCCAAAAATATGTGTGCTGATATCTGTGGTGCTGACACCATAAACGGTCAACTGAATTTTTAGAAGCTGAAATCGAATGTACCCATGCTAAATGAAGGCAGTCCATCAGACTTGACCTTGTATGTGTAGTCAGGACACTGAAAGAATGCTTACTGGTAGGTTGCTCTGGGTTATTATGCTTGATATCTGGATATGGGCCCAGAATATTTTTTGATATACCCTTTTTGTTTTTTCTTTTTACTGTCTGATCTTCTGCAGTTTTTATTTTGTCATGTTGTCTTGTTTTTGGAATTTGCTTGCAGTATGCATTCCCACACGTCAGATTCATCCTGTTCTCCTCGCTGCAGAATGATTTCAGTGGAGAGCTGGCTCGATGTACTTGGCTGACCTGAGCTTACATGTTAGACAAATGTACTTTTCTGCTCACCTGACAGATCAGCCCTGAGGGTAGTAAGGTGGAAGCGGAGCCAGCTCGCTCTCACCAGCCTCTAAGATTATACAAATCCCCGGCTCGCTATTCCTGGCCACAGTCGTCTCCATAAAGATGTATGCATTCATCATCTTATTGGAGCCATTTTTCTCTTCCTTTCTTTTTAATATTTTTTTTCAAATTATTTTTAAAGAGACCCACTTGATGTAGGTAACTCCTTTTAATATGTGTGAAGCTTTAACATATACAGTATGTACAGGGGAGGGGGGCAGCTACTGTGTTTCCCCCGAAAATAAGACACTGTCTTATATATTTTTTTTGGCTAAAAAAAACACTGGGTCTTATTTTCGGGGATGTCTTATTTTTTTTAATGTATAACAATCCAAAGTTATTGCAAATCCAAATTAAATAATCCAAAATGGCAAAGTTAAGAATATGGTGATCAGGGCAATCAGGGGTGCCATACCTTTCCAAGAGCAATTTGGTAACCCAGAAAAAGCGAAGCGCACTTTCACTATAGATTCCTCACAGGCGGAGTGCATTTGGTATCACTCCGCCTGTGACAGGAGTCGGCGCTATAGAGGAAACATCGGCTTATGCGGCTCTGCTTCCTGTGCTGCCGCCTCGCTTCCTCTAGTGCTGGCTTCATTGGCACCGCTGATTCTCTCCCGGGGGTCTTTAGGTTCCCCCTTATGCCACCACCAGCCCTGGGAATGGTCACAACTAGGTCTTATTTTCTGGGTAGGTCTTATATTTTAGCAATTCCCAAAAATAGTACTAGGTCTTATTTTCGGGGTAGGCCTTATTTTCAGGGAAACAGGGTATTTTGCTCATTTACATGCACAGGCTCTGCTTCAAGCTTTGAAATGCAACTGTGGTTGTGCCTTACTGCTCTTCTTACCAATGCAAGTTGGCCAACTTATTATATATCAGCCAAATGGGCTGTATATTGTTTTTATCTCCACAGTTGCGATGAAAAGTTGTACTCGCGAATCAGCCCTGACTTTCATTTCTAGGCTGTTTTTAATATCTTCACTTGATACAATATCAAAAATATGGAAGAGCAAAACGCATCAAAAATTATTGCATTTGTGAAGTTTCCTTTTAAATGCCCCTACCTCCTAATGCTCCAGAGTGGCAGATACCTGGCAACCCACAGTGTTTGCAAAAATGTTTTGGCTTTGTCGAGCTCAGACTGCGTATGTCAAAAGAAAATGGTCACTTTGCCCATGCATGCCTCTGCAAAGAACATGCCCCTGAACCCTTTATACTCTGTCATTCCTTGAATACACTGCTCTGACCTTCTATTATGGTGCAAAGCCACAATCCATCTTCCTGGGATGCACATCAGTTTGCAGCAGGATGGCAGCACACAATGGATCTTCTCCAAATGTATCTTTCATGCTGTAAAGTCGCTGAAGGCAAGACCCGCTTATGTTTTAGCCCTGCTCGGCCTTCATCATAGCATGACCCTTTAATCTAATTACCTGCTTTGTCTCACAGCTTTTTGTTCCTCTGCAGCAGGCAAGAATACCCTGTACTACCAGGTATGGGGTAGCATGTGACCTGCTGCCAGACATGGCAGCCAACCAGTAGGCCCAAGCACTCTCACGTGACCAGGCTATGGTGTTACCGATTTTCTCTGGGTCTGACACTGCTGAATTCAGTGCTGACTGTGGAGGAGCAATTGGCTACAAAAGAGCTCAGGTAAGATGGGTATAAGTGGGTCCAGGGATGCCCTTTGCAGGGTCTGTCCCTTTCCCTGAATGTACAAGGTGGAAGTGAACCTTTTAAAGGTCTTCTGCCTAAATTGTCTGTAATACTGTATATCCACTTATAACTGGAGTAGGGACATTTTTATAAGCTGCACTGAGGCAGGGGCTGTATGGTGCTGTTGAGTATATTGCTAAGGACTGAATATTATGACCTATCATCACTAATGACCTCTCTGTTTTTTTATTTTTTTCCACTTCTGCAGGTCTATAACCTGACTCAGGAGTTTTTTCAGTATGGAAAACCAGTTAACGCAGAAAGCCAAAACAGCGTGGGCGTCTTCACCCGGGACGTGGTCCGGAAACGCATCAAGGATGATCCTGATGACTCGGAGACCACAAAGAGGCTCAAGCTGGCCATGATACAGCAATATTTAAAGGTAAGCCGATGGTATTGTCTGTTTCCGGAAGACTTGGTGTGATAATAGAGATATCTGTATCTGTAGTATAGCTGTACTGTTCTAAAGAGCCTAGGCTTTTGAAATTTGCATTTCCGCCAGCAATGTAAATGGAAGTGAAGAAGAGCTGATTATATAAATTGGGGACTCTGAATTATTGGTTTGTTTAATGCATAAGATACTTCTGTCAGTTTGAAGGGGTGCTATTAATGGGAAAGTATATTGATTAGTAATTTAAATGATTCTATATTATATCAAAGTAAAATGGACATGTGTTCATTAATATTTAAAACAAACATGTGCTTTGTTAGGGTAGGCAACACCTTTTATTTACCCCCCCCCAACATGTACTTACCTGTCCTTTCCTCTGCCGCTAAGCTCTGGAAGTCCAATGAAATGGCTGTGACTTCTCGGTAGGGAGGAGCATGTTACTCACTCTAAGTGACCATGTTGGGCCAGTCGGCACTGTCCCATGGGAAGTCCATAGCCCTGTTTAAATTATGGCTCCAGAGATTGTAGATTACATGGCACTTTTCTTTGCTCTACCCTTATGGACGCTTGAACAGCTTGCATCTCCAATGCTTGGGTGCAGGAGGTGGTATCATAGGGCTACAAACTGGAGTCTGGCTCTCTACTCCTAGGTTTCTCAACTCCAACCTTCCTGTGTCCAACCACCTCCAACATTCCTATGTCACAACCAGATTTGTTGATCTCCTTTTGAGCCCAGTCAGGTTTTCTGGATCAAGGGGTCATTGCCCCAGTTTTTCTCCAATCTGGTCACCATTCCCAAGTCTGAAGGGGACACCTGTCCCCTCTTGGATCTCAAAGCTCTGAATGTCTTCATTCAGTTTCAGAAATTCCACCTGGAAGCCACTAATTCTGTCATCAGCTCCCTTCAACAGGGAGACTTTGAGGCTTCTATGGACATCAAGGATACTTGCCTTCATGTCCCCATCTTTCCAGTGGTTCAACAATGCTTGCGCTTTGCTGTGGGACCCCTGCACTACTAGTTCGTGGCCTTGTCCTTCAGCCTCTTGTCTACACCTTGGGTATTCACCAAGGAGTTGGCAGCAATGTTGCATATATTGGTGATTTATTAGATTTAAGTAACACATCTGCATGTATGTAAACCAGTCATCTGATCTACATGGTTGATCATTGGATTCCTGTTCTTACACTGGGGATCTAGAGACTCCGGGAGCACAAGATTTAACTTCTCCTATACCAGGATATAGCCATACACTTTGGCCTGATAATTTGGGCTCGGGGCACTGATTGCTGACCTCCATTTACAATATAACAGCCCTGTGACCAGAGATCAGAGTCCGTGAATACTCTGCATGCTCTGATGGGCATAAAACTGCCAATACACTGGGCAAATTTTGGCCAGTTCTTGATGAATGTGTTATTTATGATGCAATGATACATAGAGAAAACTTAATGTCATTCACTTATATGGATGTGATAAAGGGCAGAGAAAGAGAAGGTCCTATATAGGGGTAAAAAAAAACTATGATATATTCATTATTATGCCCTAAAACTACTGAAGAACTTTAATTTGTTTTAGCTTTGTTGTGCCTTTTTAAATCTGAGCCCAGACATTTGTTTACTCTGTGTACATTCGGCAGATACATTTTTTAATTTATTTTCCGTCTTTATTTCAGTCTATGATAAACCAGGTTAGCGGAGTGTAAGTGTATATAATTACTCTACTGGATGCGCATTGTGGATTTTTGTTTTTTTTTCCTGTTCCAGCAAGGCACATTGAATATTTCATGATGCCTTCGGCTTGCTGATCCGTTACTATATGCTTAGCTCAACACAATATGTCTAATTTAACAAATTTTTGTGTCGCCTGCACAATGTCAGGTTTGTTCATGGCCTTTGGCTTTATTTTTTATAACCTAAGACATACAGTAAGGCAAGCTTTTTATTAAATTTTTAATTTCTTTTATTATCTCAATTTTGAGTTGCTACTTTTGGGTTGACTCACCATCAACGTTCTATCTCTCTGGGGTTCCATCAGGGCCGTAGATCATTTTTTTTCCTGGGGGGTGTTCAGAACAAAATTTTGTGCCCTAGTCCACCCCAATCGACCTCATGGAAAAGTTCCGTCATCACTTCCCTTCCCCTGCGCACCACTGTGTGACAGACTTCACTCAGTTGAACTGTGTTTGCTGCCTCCCTCCCCCCGCCTCCCCCGTTTTTTACACCGCTGCACTCGGTACCTACCTGGACTTGCTGCAGCTCTTTTTCAGTCTTTCAGATTGTCCTCCCGATCGCTGTTGCTTCCAGGCTGCCAACTCCTGCAGGATGTCTCTGCACTGCCCACGCTGCCTTGAGCTAGAACAAAAATGGGATCCCTCCAGCTCCCTCACCGCGGTGCCTGCTGGGAAATGGAGTTCCCTGAATGTGTAAAATCTGATCGAAACAAGGAAAATGGAATATTAATGACACATAGGCTGCTTTGCCAGTTTTATATTTCTATGTAATGTACAATTTACTGTGTTCTGTATTCTTATTTCTTACACATTCATGCATGTAATAGCATAACAGGCCAACTCCTACCCTTAGTTCTGTTTTCTTTGAATTTCATGTTAGTGCTTAGTGCTGCTGTATACACATCCCACAATGCAATGCATGAGCCTCAGCAGTCTGTTTTGATAGATGATTTCAACTAGGGATGCACAGATACCATTTTTTTTTTTTTCAAGACTGATTAAGAGTACCGATACCGATCCTCAAGTACTCGCTAATTCCAATTTCCATTACTACTACTTCCTTTTTTTTTTTTGTGTGTGTCATATGACAGGTTTTTCTAAAACAATACAGACTAATGATTTTAGGACAGTTGTGGAGTGCCAGGGCCCAGTTGCAGTTGCAACCGCTGAGACCCTGGTAGTTCTGCCACTGACTCCAAGCTGTAGAGGGACAACAAATCTCAGCACTACATTATACAGCAATGCAGAATGCCACCAGCTATAGAGGACTACAAATCCCAGCAGTACATTATAGAGAAATGCAGAATAATATGAAGCTACACACTTTGTTGCACCGGCGTGGCGGCCTTATCTCTCTAGGGTCTCAGGTGGGCTATATGGGGTCTTTCCAGTGGTCAGGAGTGTCTCACCAGGGGTCTGGAGGGTCTTGTGGGCAGGTGTGGGTGGCGGAAGCACTGTAAACAGAGCCTCATTGTTCCACAGGAAGAAGGGGGAGATGTGAGGGCCAGTACTGTAAACTGGCACCGTGGTTCACAGGAAGGCTTCTGAGCTCCCCAGCTAGCACAGAACCTCAGTCAGCCGCTTCAGTTTAAAAATGTAAATCGCCAGTATGGGCATTTAGTATCGGCACTGATACCAATATCTGAATCGGTGCATCCCTAATTTCAACTTTTGATTAAAGCCCAACTCTGTGTTGGGGGCTCCAGTGGGGATATTTAGCTGACCCAGTCCTTGAGAGCTATAAGAAACTGGTGAATGTTTCAAACCCACCACTATCCACCTAGAATTAAAATGCATTTTCACATAACCCTGCTTGGTCCTGCTGTGATAACCAGGCGAATTCTCAGTCAGTAGACCAGAAATCCTAGATTTGGTTTGTCTATAAGCCACTTAGTACCTCATTCAGGTATGAATGAGGAAGAGTCACACTAATGCTACAGACTTAGGAGTTTGTGAATGGAGAGGAGAGGGAACCATGAGCAGATGGCTAGTGTGAACTGCTCTACAGTGAACATTAGTGAGCTGGAGGCTGCTGTTTCTCATCTATCCTCTCCTGCCTTTGACTATTGGCCCATAGCTATTATCCATGGCCTCAGTAACTAGTAGCAAAGAAGTGGATGGGCTTGACCCAGGGACCAGGCCGCTGCTATCCATGTGCATTACAACACACTGCTAATTTGGTGGGGCCCAGGGCCACTCTACCAGAGATCCACCCTAACATGAGGACACCGGGAGGTGCCTGACATGGCCAGCAAGTCTTGGTTTAATGGGTTTAAATGGACCACTGGTTTAAAACTATAATAGTTTTGGGTCAATTTTATTTCAAGTTTACAAATTTCCAATCTAATGATTTAGGAAAACCTCACTGACCATGAAAGGTGCTGAGATATTGGCCTGCTTTTGCTAGAATTGCTGACTGCAAACACTTGACACGCTCTGCTCCCTGATTGGAAGGAAATGGCCGGCAAGATTTGTAAACGTTCCTAGCTGTGTCTGTATTAGGTAGCCCTCCTCAGATGTTTTGTTGGTTAGTTTGTTCTAGTCACAAATGTTTTTTATATATTTCCAGGTTGAAAGTTGTGAGAGCAGTTCACACAGTATGGATGAAGTGTCACTTAGCGAGTTTGGTGAGTGGACGGAAATTCCTGGTGCCCATCACGTCATTCCCTGCGGCTTCATTAAGATTGTGGAACTCTTGTCATCCTCCATCCCGCAATCCGTCATCCAGCTGTGCAAACCCGTCAAATGTATCCACTGGAACCGGTCCATCTGTAAACGGATCGAGGGGGTGGCTGACCACAACAACGACCAGATGGAGGACAAGGGCTATCCTGTCTTTCTTGAATGCGAAGACTTCGAGTTCATCCCTGCCGATCATGTGATCGTTACAACTTCCCTGGGCGTCTTGAAAAAATTCCACGAGACTATGTTCCACCCACGCCTCCCAGAAGACAAAATCATGGCAATCGAGAAGCTAGGGATCAGCACCACCGACAAAATCTTCTTGGAATTCGAAGAGCCATTCTGGAGCCCGGAGTGTAACAGCATCCAGTTCGTCTGGGAGGACGAGGCGGAAAGTGAGAGCTTGACCTATCCAGAGAACTTGTGGTATAAGAAGATCTGTAGCTTTGACGTGTTGTACCCCCCAGAGCGATATGGTTATGTGCTTAGCGGTTGGATCTGTGGCGAGGAAGCGTTGATCATGGAGAAGTGCGACGATGAGACTGTTGCCGAAACCTGCACTGAACTGTTGAGAAAATTTACAGGTTAGTACTTCATACAGGAAGGGACTGACGACTTTGACTTTAATGTCACTTAAAGTAATCTTCGGGCCTAAAATGTGCAACAAAATGGCTCTGGCATCAGCAGGTTTAAAGCTGCTCCCCCCCCCCCCCCTTTAAATAAA